CCGGAAACTTAAATACATGTGTGAATACATAAACAAATACCGTGTCCCTAATGAGCCTCTACTAGACTAGCTCATTGATAAAAAATGTTTAAGGTTTCCTAACCATGGACATGAGTTGTCATTTGATAACAGGATCACATCATTAGGAGATGATGTGATGGACAAGACCCATCCGTTAGCTTAGCATTTGAATCGTACAGTTCATTGCTACAACTTTCATGTATGTCAAATACATGTTCCTCAGACCATGAGATCATGCAACTCCCGCATATCGAAGGAATACCTTGTGTGCTATCAAATGTCACAACATAAATAGGTGATCATAAATATGCTCTACAGGTATCTCCGAAATTGTTTGTTGAGTTGGCATGAATCGAGATTGAGATTTGTCACTCCGAGTATCGGAGAGGTATCCCTAGCCTTCTCAGTAATACACATCATAAGAAGCCTTACAAGCAAACGACTAATGAGTTAGTTATGAGATGATGTATTACGCAACGAGTAAAGACACTTGCCGGTAACGAGATTGAACTAGGTGTAAAGATACTGACGATTGAATCTCGGGCAAGTAACATACCGACAGACAAAGGGAATTATGTATGTTGTCATAACGGTTCGACCGATAAAGATCTTTGTAGAATATGTAGAAACCAATATGGGCATCCAGGTTCCGCTATTGGTTATTGACCGGAGAGGCGTCTAGGTCATGTCTACATAGTTCTCGAACTCGTAGGGTCCCCACGCTTAAGGTTCTTTGACGATATAGTATTATATGAGTTATGTTTGTTGGTGACCGAATGTTGTTCGGAGTTCCGGAAGATATCACGAACATGAAGAGGAGCTTCGGAATAGTCCGGAGGTGAAGATTAATATATGGGATAATAGTGTTTGATCTCCAGAAAGGTTCCGGAATTCACTAGAAGGGGTTTCGGATGTTTCCCGAAATGTTTGGGCACGAGAACACTTTATTTGGGCCAAGGGGTAAAGCCAACTAGGGTTTTGGAAAGTACAAAATGAAGTTTTGCGGAGGCTAGGGGCTAGACGCCAGGGACCCTGGCGTCTAGCCCTAGACGCCGGAACCCTGGTGTCTGGGCCTGGAGTCTGAGTAGGACTCTTGCCTTTCGGGAAAAACTGACTTTCAGGAGGTTTTTACTCCAAGTTTCGACCCGAGGGCTCAACATATAAATAGAGGGGCAGGGCTAGCATCCAAGACACATCAAGATACACCAAGCCGTATGTCGGCAACCCCGTCCCCTCTAGTTTATCCTCTGTCTAGTTTATGTAGTGCTTGGCGAAGTCCTGCGGAGATTGTTCTTCACCACTAACCATCACCACACCGTCGTGCTGCCGGAACTCATCTACTACTTCGCCTCTCTTGCTGGATCGATAAGGTGAGGACGTCATCGAGCTGAACGTGTGCTGAACGCGGAGGTGCTGTACGTTCGGTACTTGATCGGGAGGGATCACAAAGGTGTGTGACTACATCAACTGCGTTGATAAATGCTTCCGCTTAGCGATCTTCAAGTGTATGAAGATGCTCTTCCCCTCTCGTAGCTATGCATCTCCATGGATAGATCTTGCGTGTGCGTAGAATTTTTTTGTTTTCCATGCAACGTTCCCCAACATACCAAGCCATCCAATATCCTTGTGCATGCTCACACTCATTGCATGCATAGCTACAACATCAATTAGTATTTCTGGTGGACGTGGCCTTCCAAAGAAAATATTAGCTTCTATTGTGTACTCTTTCCTTCTTGCATTATATGATTGCATGCAATCTGGTGGTTGTGGCTTGTTTAAGTTACAACCGGGTAAATCAAAGTGCGTCTGCCTATGCTCCATAGCAGCAATAGCCACGAGGTCTTTTCCATGGTATAACTCAAAGTAACGTGGCACGTAAATATTTTGGACCTCTGACAGAACAATGTCAATAACGAGTATAACTGTTGTCTAGGTCATATGAGCAATCTCATCGACATAGTCACGGCTGTGTCGTTCCATCTTAGATATGATCTCTCCGTGAGCATCATTGGCCTCACTTAATTGTTCCAAGAGAGCAATAAAATGCTTCTTGGTCTCACCCTTGATTTTTCTCATGAATTTATCAAAGGAATTTGCACCTACTTTTACCTCCTCTTTTTCATCCCCACTGTCCGTATGAGAAGGAGTAGTGGAGATGGTAGTTTTGATGTTGGAGGTTACCTTGTCGGATGCTTTGGCCGTTAGGCACTTGGTGATGGCGATGCGATCTTCGGTTGGTGCGTGGAAGAGTGACACCGAGTTTGGAGGAGAGATGGCAATGGGCCCTCGCTTTCAGTGTAGCATGAGGGAACAAGGAGTTCCATCTAGAACAGACAAAAACACGGTCCAGCACCGACCTAACACGATCAATCTGAGGGTTAGTCTAGGTGAAGCGGGCACCAACCCGAGGAAGTTCACGGAGGGCACAATCCCGGATGAACCCATTGAAACAATCAACGAGCGGACAAGAAAAATTACTACTGCTCTTGTCACTGGGAGTTCGTAACAAGTTAAAATCTCCGCCAATCAAAATTGGGAGAGAGCAGGACTCAATCTTATTCGAAATCTCATTAGGAAAGAGGGTGTGGGGGGGATAAAGAATGGTCTGCAGGACCAATAGACCACGATAGCTTCCCAAAGTGTGTTAAGCTTCCAATGGAATAGAACTGAACTAGCCCAAAAAACACCATGATCAAAGGCAACAAAGTCAAAAACATCCCTCTTAGAACCAATGAGGATACCACCCGAGTGCCCAGAAGAAGGCAAATAGTGCCAGTCGGATCTATCGGCCCCCGCCACCGTGGAAAATTCATTAGAAAAAAGGATTCTTTGAAAGTTTCAACAAGGCCAATCAAGTCCATGTTCTCACCTCGAACAATATCCCTAATTTGATCCCGACGCCCCCGAGCGCCGAAACCTCTAATATAACAGAAGATAGCTCTCATTTTGAAGAAAGATTCTTAATGTGGAGGCTCGACCTGCATGGGGCAACACAGGATTTCGCACGGGGCTCGACCTGTCTATTTATTCCCTTCAGTTGCAATGATGTTATAATATCGAGCAATGGTCTTGAGCTTTATATCACTCATTGCATTCCTGAACATGTTCAGTTATTACATTTCACTGCCTTTTTGAATTCAGTTGATTACTCATCCATAAAAAAAATGGCAAATACATTTTTGACCTTGTTGATAGTTGCATTGAAGATATAGGAGCATAAAAGGTAGTTTGTTGGATGCAAAAAAATATGAAATTTCAGTGCTGTTTGATAATGGTGATATTGGCTTCAAATGTGTTATTGCTATTATTGACAAGAGATGGGACAGCAAACTCAAGGCGCCTCTACATTTGGCTGGATACTTTCTAAACCCCTTTTATTTTTATCCAAACAAAACTACGATCGAGAACGATGGATCATTTAGAGCACCGTGATCCATTGCATTAAAAGTTGGTTGAAGATAAAAAATTTCAAGAAGAGAGTATTGATGAACTCGACAAATACCAGGAGAAGGCGGATTCCTTTGTTATGGGCATTGCCGTATGGCTGAGATGAAATAAAACCTTTGATCGATGTAAAGTGTTGCTGCTGAAAACTTGTGAAGTTATTTAATATCACTCTCTTTGTTTCCCCTGCTTAGGCTGGTCGTAACGGGAGTATCATATACTAGTATCATGCATATGATACTGTTGTATGATACTACTTCCGTCATGCATAGTATCATAAGTTAGTATCTTAGGTTGACTTACTAATTGTCATGCATGACACAAAGTAATACAACATTTAATATGATACGGTGTCATAATATGATACTACATCCAAAAACTCTAGTTGACATACATGATACTGTTTATAATACTCCCATTATGGCCAGCCTTATACCTGTCTAACTAATGATCTATTGATGTCTTAACGCTGCTAAATGGTGGTCGAATTATGGCACAAGTGCACCCAAGTTGAAGAAGATTGCAATGAAAATTCTCACTTTGACATGCAGCTCCTCATGCAGATTGTGAGAGAAACTGGACATCATTTGAACAAGAAATACTACTACAGAGTATAGTTCATTTCTCTTCTCACACTAAGACCATGTATCCCATACTTTTTTTCCCACTTACACAGGTTCAGACAAAGAAGCAGAGCAGGCTACTCCATGATAGGATGAGAGGGACCTTGTCTTTATCAAATTCAACACTAGGATGAAGCATTTGAGAGAGAACAAGATTAGAGATCCAATAGGGAAGACAATCGTTGCTGTTCTCGAGGATGAAGACAATGAGTTCATCACCGGGGTTGTTCCCGGTCACAATGTTGATGAACATGTATGATTTATGCCTTGCTGGTTGCCGCTATAGTGTAGTTTATGATATTCTCCTATTGATTTGGCTGGATGCTGGTATAATCTGCTGTCAATTGTCAAGTATATGTTAATTGGATGCCTGACTATATGTTTGTTTTTCTCATTTTGTATTAATTTATGCTGAAATGCTAAATAGGGCTTAGCATGCTATAGCGTTTCAGACATTTTAGCCGAGCGGAGCCTACGCTATGAGGTTTAACGCGCTATTTAAAAGTTTGGCACCAACACATCATGTTTGATACGTGACAGCCTTTTTTTGTGCGGGAATGTATGTACCTGTAGAGTGAGAGAGAGATACAGGAGCGTTATACTCCGAGGGCATGTCCAATGGTGTTCTTTTAGAAGTGTCACGTAGGATAAATGATGAGGTGGAGGAAAGAGAACTCATAAGAAAAGACTAGACAAGAGATGATCTCTTAGCACAATATGTCTCATCATGTTTTTAAGAATAATTAGTTATTGAAAATACGGCTAAGAAATGACACACTGTAGGCATTTTTTGTTTATCATTTTTAAATTATATGTAAGACTTGAGATAAGATTATCTTATCAATCATTGTACATGCCCTGATTGATTCCATTTGACGGACGTGCGGAATGTCCTGCGGACTCTGATTGATTTCATTGGGAGCCGACGTAGCCGAATCCGATGACGAAGGCGGCGGCGGACTGCATGAGGAGGTAGACATAGAAGTGGTCGTGGCCGAAGACAATGTCGTAGAGAGCGCAGTAGAGCAGGAAGAGCCCCATGACGATCTCCGGCGCCAGGAAGCTGCTGCTACTCTTCTTCTTCTTGGCCACCATGGTCGTGGTGGCGGCAGCAGGAGTGGAGGTCGTGGAGCCGCCGAGCTTCTCGGTGACGACCCACTCGTTTGCGCGGCTGGCCTCGAGGAGCCCGATGATGGTGGCCTTGCAGCGGTGAATGGACATGACATTCTCGAAGAGGATCCAGAAGACGAGCAGGTGGCACGACCTCGGGGTGCACACGGCGTTGAGCAGGGTGAGGACGGCCGCCACATACATGGGCACGTACTGTGGGAGCCACACATCCTGGCCGCCGACGAGCACGTAGACCGGGATGACAACGCAGCAGAAGAGGAACGTCGCCAGATGCGCCACCACCTTCCTGACGAAGAAGAAGCCGTAGAGCACGTGGAGCTTCTTCCACGCCGACACCTGCTTGTTGGCGACGATCTCCCAGAACATCTTGCGCATGAGGTTGGGCGGCCCACACGACCACCGGTGCTGCTGGTACCGATACGCCTTGAAGCTGCTGGGTAGCTCGTTGCGCACCTGCACGTCGCCGGCGTAGACGAACCTCCAGCCCCGCATGGACGCCCTGACGGCCAGGTCCATATCCTCCACGGTGGTGCGGTCCTTCCAGCCCCCCGCGTCGGCCAGGGCGTGCAACCGCCACACCCCGGCAGTGCCGTTGAAGCTGAAGAAGCCGTGGAAGGCCGACCCCACCTCCTGCTCCACCGAAAAGTGGTAGTCCAGCGACATCTCCTGCATGCGGGTGAGGATGCACTCGTCCGCGTTCACGAACCGCCACCGCGCCTGCACCAGTGCCACCGCCGGGTCCGCCTCGAGCACGGGGACTGTGTGGCGCAGGAAGTCGGCGTCGGGCTGGAAGTCGGCGTCGAAGACGGCCACGAACTCGCAGTCTTTCACGTACTGCTTCTTGAGGCCATCCCGCATGGCGCCCGCCTTGTAGCCGCTACGGTTGCTGCGGTTCTCGTACCGGATGTGCACCCCCTTGCCCGCCCACCGTCGGCACTCGGCCTCCACCAGGGAGCGGATGCCGGCGTTCGTGGAGTCGTCCAACACCTGGATCACCAGCTTATCGGCCGGCCACCACAGGCCGCAAGCCGCGCCGATTGAAAGACGGAACACCTGCATTGTCAGTCATATGCATAACGATGGTTTTGTTTCAGTACTCACTACTCAGTCATCGTGCACCGTGCATGCTCTGTACACACAGGCACACACACTTTTCTTTAAAAAATAAATAAATAAGAGTGTTTAGATCACTATTTTTATATTTTTTGACTGAGGAATTAGCTGTTAAGGGCTGCTAACTAACAAGCTATCAAACTTGTGCTGTGGCTCACAAAGTACTACTAAGATAAAGAGATAGATAGGTAGATAGATAGTTGACTCTTGTCTTAGATGCCGCCGTTTCTTATTTGTTTATTTTTAATCTTGAATGAATTTGGATGGACGTAGCCAACAGGAGTGAGTAGATTAGTATTACGCGCGCAACAACTATAGTTGTAGTTGTGCATGCATATGTTCGAAATGCACTTGTAAAGCAGCAGCTTTTGCATGATTGCTGTTGAAGAAACAACAAAACATGCAGCTTTTGCAAGATTGCTGTTGAAGAAACAACAAAAACATGCAGCTAGCTAGCTAGCGTTACCAGCAGCACATGGATAAATATATGCATTCTCTGATGATCATATGCGTGCTATACGTAAGTAACAGCATAGCAGAGTGGTCATGCATACCATATCATCATAGATGAGCAATTAATCTATCTTACATAGAGATGTAGAGAATAGACTAGTACTGACCTGCTTCTCGTTGAACATGGGGATCTGGACCAGGACCATGGGCCGGTCTGCGTCATCACTCTCCAGGTTGTCGTCGTCGCCCTTGTTCCTTTGGTTACGGTTGCGACATCGGCGGTAGAGCCAGAGCACGGCGACGACAAGGCCCATGTAGAGGCGGTCGGCGAACAGCATGAGGGACATGACGACGCAGAGGTAGATGGCCAGCTGCAGCAGGGGCA